TACTGCAAAATTATTAGATTTTCTTTGTGAATGTATTGAACAAAAGGGTCCAATTCTTGTAGATCAAATGTTTAATATAGTTAATGATAAATTTTCATACGAAAATTGGACTTCAATATTTAAAACACCACAGGATTTGTGTACATTTGTCAAAATGTTCCCAGATGCATTTCATGTTCAAAGTAATTTAGTAACATTAATTGGAAGGCCTAAGTCTTCTACCATAGAAGGAAAAGCAAAAACAAGATTTACAAATTCTTCGAGAAGTCAAAATAGTACTGCAAGTCAAACAAATTTAAATCAAATTATTCAACCAAGCAATACTCAAGCATCTCAACAAATAATTAATTCAGAATCTACTAATATCAATATTACAAGCCAAATTAATAATATACAAAATTCTCATTTCCCATCAATTGAAAGTAATAGTACTTCTCCAATAAGTTTACAACAACAAACTTTAAAACAAAGAATAAATACACTTGTAATGAAGACTTTGGCAGATAATACAGAAAAGGATAGGAATTTACAAACTATGCAAATGGGAGATGCTTGGAAATTAAAGGTATTGCAACAGACAAGAGTAATAGTAAATCCAAGAGAAAGTCTTCAAATCATAGAAGATATAATAAATCCTCGTAAACCTTCTCCTGATGGTAAAATTGTTGTTTCATTTGATTGTGAAGGAATAAATTTAGGAGTTAAAGGACAATTGACACTTGTACAAATAGGAACTATGTCTGGTCAAGCATATGTATTTGATTTATTTGCTTGTCCTAATCTTGTACAAGCTGGAGGCCTTCAAAAACTTCTAGAACATAAAGATGTTATTAAAGTAAGGAATAATATTCAATAATATTCATGTAAATTTTGTATCATTTATATTTTATAAATTTGTTTATATTTTAGTAATTTTATTTTAATTATTTTAGGTAATTCATGATTGTAGAAATGACAGTGTCAATTTGTACAGACAATTTAAGATTATGTTGAATAATGTTTTTGATACACAGGTATTTGAATTATAATCATTAAAATTTCTCAAAAAAATTTTGAAACATAAAATAATAAAAATATGATTGAAAGATAAATTATGTTTCTATTTGTAGGCAGCTCATGCTGTATTGCAGTTTCAAGAAACTGGTAAACCTGTATATAAAGTTAAAAATGTTAATTTGAATACACTATGTGATCATTATGGTGCTCCAAGTAATCCATTAAAAGAACAATTGAAAAATATCTATCGTAATAATCAAAGATATTGGTGTAGGCGTCCATTAACACGAGATATGCTCATTTATGCTAGTAGTGATGTTTTGAGTTTAGTTCCACAAATATATATTTCCATGTCTAGGTATATTGTTTAATCATGCTTTATTTATTGAATGATTTTTTCAAATACATATTAGTAAAATAATAGTTATTTTTTACAATTTTACAATTTATTTTAAATAGTAGAATAATTAAATTTTTCATTAAAGATATTTAAAATTGATTCAACAAATGAATAAAAAAAAATTTCATTAATTTTTAATTATATATACATAATTTTATCATATTTTCATCTAATTTTTTAATATTCTAAAAAAAAATATATAAAAATGGATATTTTTTGTTAATTATAATTTTTTGATTTTAATATTATTAGACTCATAAAACCAGAAGTACAAGTTCTTTTTAATGAGCTGTGTGAGGAACAAATTCAATTACATATCAAACCTGCAGAAGTAAAAGCACGAAAGAAGCAACGAAAAGTGGAAACAGAAGTCGCAGATTTAAAAAAAAGAATGGAAGAAGCAACCACCAAAAATATTGTTTTAAGTAATCGTGAAATACGTCTTTTGCGTTATCTTGATCTTACTGAGGATGAAAAAGAGAAATTGAAAGGCAGTTACAAAGTTGCAAGAAAATTAGAAAAACTTGAAAATATGGGTCAAGATAAAGGAGAAAGTAGTGATGATGATGATGAAGATAAAATTGAAGATTCAGAATATCATAGTATGGAAAGTTATACTTCTGAAAATTCACATTCAGGTATAAATTTTTTTATTATTAATAATTTAATTTAATGTTAATATTTAATTAGTTTGGTTTCACGATTATTATTATATATATTATTATTTATATTTTATATATTATTATTTATATTTATTTATATTATATATTTATATTTATAGGTGGTATATTGTCACCAAGAAATTCTGATACACCAAGTCTTACAGAATCAATGCAAATGGTAGATGAAATTCTATCTGATGGACGAATGGATAGATTTGAAAAGATCGAAAAATTAGAAGCTATTCTTTCAGCTGTTACTGGTTCTGCAACTGATCAATTTTCCTCAAGCAGTGCAGATGTATCTCCAGCAAAATGTGTATGTTCGTGTCAAGATAAAAATAAAAGTCCACGATCAGATCGTAATACTCTGAATAGTGTGGCTTGCCAAACATATAGTACAGGTGATATAGTAATTACCAAAATATTTCTCACAGAAGAAGAAAAAGAACGTATAGATTTACTGAATTCGCCAAAAAAGTAGTATGTTTTAGTTATTGTGAAAGTGTTAAGAAAGGAAGTTGCCATTATTAGATTTTTACGAAAAAGAGAAATTAAAAAGAATTAGTTGAAAATTGATTTATTTTATAGTTTAAAAAATTGTATCTATTGAACTGTAATCAGTTTTTTTTCCAAATCTGATTCTGTAGTAATCAGAATTTAGGAAAAATTTGTTTTAATGAAAAAAAATTTAATATTGTAAAATATTTTTTTAGATGATTATCTTTCTTTACAAGAATATAAGAAAGAAAAATCAAATTATGTATTTACTAACAAAAATTTGATAAAAAATTTTTTTGAATAATTTATGTTGCTCCTCAGGATTAAAATACTAATATTGTTCCTCTATATATAAAAAATATAAACATTTAAATATTTTAACGATACTTTAAAAAAAATTTATTAATTTTTTAATAAATACAATTTATGTCATCATAAAGAAATATGGAATTATGTAGAAAAATTTAATTTTTTATGTAAAAATAAAGTGCTGCATTAAAATCACTGTCTAACATAATGAATATTTCTCATAGATATATATTTAATATTTAATATTTTCAGTTTTATTGAAAAATATTTTTGATAGTATTCATTTTTAAAATAAAAATATATGCAAAAATAAGCATAAATATGTATAATAATCATATTTTGATATGTTTAATTTTTTTGAAATTATATTTGTGCCAAATCCTAATATATCATTTATAATTTTATAGAAAAAAAAATTTATTTTGTTTTTTAACTAATAATAAATAGGATTTAAAAAATCTTCTTTATCATAAAAAATTAACAATAATTATAAAAAATTAATTGCGACAATCGCAAAAAGAACGAACAAATGTGATAATGTTAAGATTCAATAAGTTAGTTCAGTAGTTTAATGCAATACTTTTCAAAACTTTTATTTTATATTATAGAATTTTTATTTAACTTTTATTTGTATATTGGTCTATTTTTTAATTTTAAATCCTTATATTTAGAGTTTTATTATCTTCATAAAATGCAAATAATATGCAATTGTTTTAGAAATGCTTGTTTAAAAGTACTATGAAATATGCAACCATGAAATTTTTTTCATTGAAATATTTAGATGATGACAATTTTACAATATGAATAGTTAGTTCTTTATAAATAGAAAACTATATGAATTTTATGAGACAGGCTATAATTATTTTCTTTATTATCGTGAAATGATTTTAAATAGTTTTTTATTTTATAATATACTCTTTAATAAAAATGCCTGTTAACATTATATTTATAATTATATACTGATGTAACATTTTGTTCTTTTTTAAAATATAACATTGATCGATAATTATTAACAGTAATAATTAGATCAATAATAATTAATTCAGTTGCCTTATTTTTATTAATGCATTTAAGTTATTTTAACTAAAAACATTTTAAATCTAAAAAACTATTTTATCTAAAATAATAAATATTGTTGTTATTAACAATGATTAATTTATTACATTAAAAATTGAAAAATGTGCATAATAAATTTTATGGAATAAATTAAAGTGTTTCTTTACATGAAATGAATTATAAGTAAAAAATATTCCTGCATTTCATTCTTTATAATCTTTTAATTTAATGAAAAGATAATTGTTTTAAATAATAATTTAAAACAATGTATAGATTATTATTTTGCTTAACTGAAATAATATAGTTATATTTGTTTTCTTATATACAGTCTATTATCTAAATAATTTTTATAATAATATTTAATTATCTTTTTAGATTGTAAATATTAAATTAATATTAAATAAGATTTATCTCACATATCTTATTATTATTTAAATATAATAAAAAAATAGATCTAGGTTATACATTTTAATATTTTTACCTATGAAATTTATTATATTTTCATATTTTTTTTTAATCAATTTTGCATTAACATGCAAAGTTTTCAAATTAGTTTTTATTAATTTAAGCATATCTTTTGAAATGAATCATAAATCTTTCTGTAAAATAATTATTAATATTCATATAATAATCTCTAAAAATGTGCATAATTAAAAACTTAATTTATATTCGATTTATATTTGATTTGAGAAATTATATGTATAATTGTTATAATATTTTTATATATTTCATTGTTTTTTGCATAATATAAAAAATATCTTACATGTATGATTTATTACACGATTTATTATAATGATACAAAAAGATATAACAAATTTGAATGATAAAAATATAATTTTTTTTTGGAAATTCTTTTTTTTTACAAATTAATGTTTGAATTATATATATAATACTTATAGTATTATATATTATTGTATAATATTTTATTCAATTCAATAAGATAACATTTGATCTTTAAGACCCCCACGAATTATAAAATATTTTGATTGTTATTTTGTATATATATTATATCTTATAATACTATATAAGAATGTATTTATATGTAGTTGTCTACATATATGCAGTATGAATTATGGACTGTTGGAAATTACTTCGGAATTTGAAGCCACACACTTGTTGAATCTCTTCTATAGTGCGTACGAAAGCCTGTATTGGGTATAAAATTATTTTGATTGAAATTTATTTTTTTTTAGAATAATATTTTTTTTTAGAAGAAATATCATGTCTAGTGGAAATTTAGGTGAGTTAAATTCATAATTAATTTTCTAATGTTTTTAAATATTAAGTGTTTAATATATTATTTATTAATTATATGATACATTATTTATTATATCATAATTATTATTATTATTTTATTTATAAATATATTGTTATACTATAATTATATTATTATAATTATTATGACTCTATTTATAAAAATATTATTTTTAATATTATAATATTCTTTTTATTTAATAAAATTTCATAAATAAAAAATATAATAATATTTATTCTATTTATTTTATAATATTTTATTTTTTATATAATTTATTATATAATTATCTTATTTTATTTTACATTTGTAGCATTATTAAGTGTCTCTGATAAAACAAATCTTTTACCATTTGCTAAGAAGTTGCATGAACTAGGTTTGATATTAGTTGCTTCTGGTGGAACAGCAAAATCTTTGAGAAATGCTGATCTTCCAGTAAAAGATATTTCTAATATTACTGGTGCTCCTGAAATGCTTAATGGAAGAGTTAAAACTCTTCATCCTGCTGTTCATGCCGGTATGAATGAATTTATATATTTAAATTTATTTTTAATATTATTTATTTTATTATTATATTTTTATATTATTATTATTTATATTATTATTATTATATTTATATTTTATATTTTATTATTATATTTATTATTATTATTATTATTAATATTACATAGATAATATTATATAAGAATTTTTTTTATTTTATAGGTATATTAGCTAGATTCACAGAGTCAGATCAGCAAGAACTTCATAAACAAAATTATGAATTTATTCAACTTGTGGTATGTAATTTATATCCATTTGTAAATACAGTTACAAAACTAGAAGTAAAAATTGAAGATGCAATAGAAAACATAGATATTGGTGGAGTAACTTTATTACGAGCTGCTGCTAAAAATCATAATAGAGTAACAGTTATTTGTGATCCTAATGATTATGAAAAAGTTGGAAAAGAAATGCAATCTTCTATTAATAAAGATACTTCTTTAGAAACTAGGTATTTATATTTATATATATATATTTTATTAAAATAAATTTTAATAGAGAAAGTAATTTATTTTATATTTTTAATAATTTCTCTCATATTTTTAGACAATTATTAGCACTTAAAGCATTTACCCATACAGCAGAATATGATAATGCAATCTCAGATTATTTCCGTAAACAATATAGTAATGAAGTTTCTCAATTGACATTGAGATATGGAATGAATCCACATCAAAAACCTGCACAAATTTTTACAACTTTAGATAAATTACCATTAACAATAGTAAATGGTTCCCCAGGTTTTATTAATCTTTGTGATGCATTAAATGGTTATCAATTAGTAAAAGAATTGAAAGTAGCTCTAAATTTACCAGCTGCAACATCTTTTAAGCATGTTAGTCCAGCTGGAGCAGCAGTTGCTGTACCATTAAACATAGTACAAGCAAAATTATGTCAAGTAGATGACTTATTAGACCAGCTTACACCACTAGCAACTGCTTATGCGCGTGCACGAGGAGCCGATAGAATGTCTAGTTTTGGAGATTTTATAGCATTATCAGATACATGTGATGAAGTTACTGCTAAAATTATATCTAGGTAATATATGTTATAATCAAAAAATGAAATGAACAAATTATTTATATTTGTATATTTATAAAAAATTTTAGAGAGGTTTCTGATGGCATTATTGCACCTGATTATTCAGAAAATGCGCTCAAAATTTTAAAAAAGAAAAAAAATGGTGCATATTGTATACTTCAAATTGATCCAAATTATATGCCACCTCAAATGGAACATAGAGTTTTATTTGGATTAACTATGGAACAAAAACGTAATGATGCAATTATTGATAGAAATATATTTTCTAATATAGTAACCAAAAAATACACAACCATTTCTGATTCTGCTATGAGAGATTTAATTGTAGCTACTATTACTTTAAAATATACACAAAGTAATTCAGTATGCTATGCAAAAGATGGGCAAGTAATTGGAATTGGTGCAGGGCAGCAATCAAGGATTCATTGTACAAGACTTGCTGGTGATAAAGCTGATAATTGGTATATTACATTTTCAATATTTGATATTTATTAATATTATGGAATGATATAATATAATATTATTTTCAGGTGGCTTCGACAGCATCCTAAAGTTATTAATATGAAATTTAAGAAAAATGTAAAAAGAGCAGAAATTTCAAATGCTATTGACAATTATGTAAACGGATTTATTGGAAAAGATATGGATGAAGCTTCTTGGACAGCAATGTATGAGGAAGTGCCACAGAAACTCTTAGAAAGTGAAAGAATAGAATGGATAAAAAAAGCAGACAATATTGTTCTGAGTAGTGATGCTTTTTTTCCATTTAGAGATAATGTGGATAGAGCTAAATTAGTATGTAATTTAATTATTATATCATTCATTTTTAAAATCATTAATTAAAAAATTATTTAATTACAGAGTGGTGTTAAATATATTGCAAGTCCTTCTGGTTCTGTAAATGATGAAGCAATAATACAAGCTTGTGATGAACATAAAATAGTATTAATTCATACTAATCTGAGATTGTTTCATCACTAAATGATTATATTAAATTATAATTTAATATAATAGCAATTATTTTATTATATTAAAACATTATTCATTATAAAAACTATTCTACCTATAATAAATAAAAAATAAATTAATAACAAACTTAAAAATATTATTTTTTAATTTAAAAATATTCTTAATTTAAAAATATTTATAGATGTAATAATATATTATAATAATTATAATATTAAAAAAATATATTTTATTATAAAATAAAATTACTATATGTATATATAATAAAAAATAAAATTATTAAAATAGAAAGAATGTGTTATTTGTCAATTGATTGATTTTTTTAAATTTTATTTTTTAGGAGTTTAAAACTAATTAATATACATTAATATTTATATTTTATTTATATTATATTTATATTTATATGTGATAAATAATTTAAAATGATTCATATATAAAAAAAATAATTTATATAAATAAATATATATATATATATATATATAAAATAATAAAAATAATTGATAATATAATAAAATAAGATGTAATATTGATTAAATATGCATCAATGTTTGTATTGGATTTCGTTGTGTGTTTTCTGTAGGAAAACTGATGCTGTGTTCAAACTTCGAACAATAAACAAAAGCGAATAAATTGCAAAAATGAGTAATTCAACTATTTCTGATCAATCACTCATGGATAAGTCTATGCGAAGTGTTTTCGGTAAGAAATTTTGTTTAATACTAAATTATTGTTATTAATAAATATAGCGCATAACCTTCAAATACTCATGATGTTTTTTAATAGTCGGGAATATCCCGTACGAAGCTACAGAAGAAAATTTAAAGGATATTTTTAGTGAAGTTGGACCAGTGCTTTCATTTAAGTAAGTTGATTATGCATTCCAAATATTACCAATTATTAATGAAATAATTATTTTTTATAATTATAATCTTAATTTTAATTTTTTATTTATTTATTATTTATTAAACATAAATTTTTTAAAATTTATATATTTAAAAATTAAATAAAATTTATATATTAAAAATGTAAAAAAAAATATAAGAAAATAATATATTAATATATAAAAATTTAAGATATTTATTTCTATTTAGATAAAATATTTTGTTTTAATATTAAATATTTATTTCTGTTTCAAATAGAATATATATTCATAACATTTTTTTTCTGTATTATTATTTTTTTCTACATATATATTTACAGTTAAAAGTTAATTTATCATAAATTTTTAATTGATTTAATTAGATTAGTATTTGATCGGGAAACAGGCAAACCTAAAGGATATGGCTTTTGTGAATATAAAGATCAAGAAACAGCTCTTAGTGCTATGAGAAATTTAAATGGTTATGAAATCGGTGGAAGAACATTAAGGGTTGATAATGCATGTACAGAAAAGAGTCGAATGGAAATGCAAAGTCTTTTACAAGGACAAAATACTGAAAATCCATATGGAGAAGCAGTACAATCAGATAAAGCTCCAGAAGCTATAAGTAAAGCTGTTGCATCTTTACCACCTGAGCAAATGTTTGAACTTATGAAACAAATGAAACTTTGTGTACAAAATAATCCAAATGAGGCACGTCAAATGTTGCTTCAAAATCCTCAATTAGCATATGCTTTATTACAAGCTCAGGTAGTAATGAGAATAGTGGATCCCCATACAGCAGTTAATATGTTACATAAAGCAAATCCAATCCCAGGTGTATTAACACCTTCTGATAAACCAAATGTACATTCAGTTGCACCCCGAATTGAAGAACCATGGGCACCTACACGTCCGGCAACAGTTACTAATCCTCCAGCATCTATTTTTGCTGGTAAGAATAGAATTTTAATTTTATTTATTTGAATCTAGATAAACTTTTAATATCAAAGTGGTTAAGATAAATATATTTATTTATTTTCATTTATTTTTTTCTTAAAGATTATTTTGTAATATTTACAATAATAATATATAATAATGGTATTTTATAATAGAATAAAATTTATATTAAACATAATTACTTTATAATGTAAAAAGATAATGATATTTTACAATAGGACAAGATGTTGATTTACGCACATTGGACAGACAAATGGATCCACGTTTAGCTAGAATGGATCAAGATCTAAGAGGACCACAACAAGTACAACCAACACCTGTTAGTTCATCCTCAGTTGTATCTGCCAATACCGATCCTAGAGGAATTAACACATTTAATATTTCAGACAAGTTAGTATTTCTTTCATGTTAAAAAAAAATTTTTAATTAATGTATCTTAAGAATATATTCTTTTTTACAGCACACTTCCTGTTGAAGGAGTTGAGAGGTTCTACAATTACTTTAGACAACGTAAAATCAAAATATTTAAAATATTCTAAAAGCGTGTAATTTTTTTCAGTTTCTGTCGTGATCCAAGAACAGATAGATTTGGTAGAGATCCAAGAGATCCCAGAGATCCAAGAATGCCTATTGATCCTAGAATTACAAAAGCTAATCGTAAGTTTTTCAAAGAATCTGTTTTTTTTTTGTTTTTTATAATATAATTATAAATTTAAGTACATTTAATTGATTCTTCATATTATTTATTTAATCAAATTAACTTGATAATTCGATTTTTTAGCACCAGTACCAGTTGCACCACCAGTGGTACCAAGACCTGTTGTTGCACCTACTGGTCAATCTTCAAATGTTGCTACAGCTAGTGTAGCAACTCCTGTTACTTCATTGACCACGTCAACTACATCCGCAACATCAAGACTTATGGCAGGCATGTCTCCGGCAGGAAATATACCGAGTGGAGCATCCGATCAAGAAAAGGTATTTAAAAACAAGCGATGTATAAATATCAGTCAAATTTATATAAAAATGTATAAAATTTCATATTATTCTTAGATACATAGAAAATAACTAAACATAAAAATAATTATTAATTTCATTGTAGGCGGCTTTAATAATGCAAGTATTACAATTATCGGACGAACAAATTGCTATGTTACCACCTGAACAAAGGCAAAGTATCTTATTATTAAAAGAACAGATTGCTAAAAGTGCACAACGTTAATACTTTTAGTAATTCTTTGTTTTTTATAATAATAAACATTTAAATTCTTGTAAAAATATTTTACTCTTTGTAAAAATCGTAATAGTTTAATGTATAAACTTATTTCGATATGAGCATCAAGTTTAAAAAAAAAATTGTTTTTGATATTAATAATAATATAATAAAACAGAAAATAATATCACAAGAATAAACTCAACGTAAAATTACACTGAAACTTAATAATTTTATATTAACTTATCATTATAAATATCAGAAATAAACATGTATTATTATTTAAGAATGTGGATTGTCAATTTAATTTTTTCTAATTTCAAATAAACCTTCTTCAATAAGAGTATTATATATAATATTTTCAAATTTTTCGTCTTCATATAATTCAACACTCATATATTCTTTATCGATATCCTAAAATGATAAATTCTATTATTTATCATTGATTAGTAAATAACAGTAAATAACATATAATAATATATATATTTATAATTCCTTACTTTAATTTTAGCTAGAACACTTCTATTATAAATTTTTTGTTGAAATTGAGATACTAGTTCATTGTAATCTGCTGTAGAGGCAACTTTAATATTCCATAATTTACATTTTATTGCAATAGAGGGTAAATCCATCCATTCTTCTTTTAAAATATGTAATTCACATCTTGTAAATAAAAAAGTTTTTATATTAATATAATAATATATTAATGTTATAAAATATATATACTTAATATATAATATAAATACTTATATATATACATAAATATTACTTACTCTTGAGAATTTATTTTTCTATACTCATCGTTACCATAATCAACATAAAGCAGTTTAATTACAATATTATCCGAATTTACAATAGGTTCTGATTCTGTTATTAAACATCGATACCAAAGATCATCATTAAATTTTGCACAACATGGCGTATCTATAAACAGATTTAGATTTACTTCAGTTTAGAAGAATGCATAAAAATGCATAAAAATATAAAGCCAATTATTTATTATTTAATTCTTTTGCTATTATTTTATTTTTGTTATTATTGAATTAAGAATAAGTTTTTTACTTTAAATAATTATTATGAATAATACTTACTAGGTATAAAGTTCGTAATTAATGGTTGTTTATAAGCATTTTCTTGCAAATCATTCATTAAAAGTTTATATTGTGTATAATATTCATTTAAAGTCTGGAATGTAATTTTCAATATTTAAAATATAATGAAAAAATTAAATATATATATGTGAATGTGTGTATATGAACATTTTATTACATACTATAGAGTGGGAATTTTCTTTTAATTGAGCGTAAAATTTAGTAGGACTGATACTGCAACATAATTCTATTTCAATATAATCTATATCTTTTGGTATATTTACAAATTTATAATTCATTGCAAGATTTTCTTCAGAAATAATGTTAGGAGTTGAAGTAATTATTTCATTTTTTAATTTACATAATGATATATTTTCAACGTCTGTGATAGTATCGTTTTCATTTTCATTTACAATATTTGTAAGTGGAAGTAATACAGAATTTCCTCTAATAATTGGATCTTTTATTATATCATCATCTGAACAAAGCGATCTTGAGTTTTCTGTAACTACATCTGAGGTAATAATTGTAAATATACTATTTTCAGATATGGTAATTTCAATATTGGGATTAATATTCATATTCCATTTATTGATAAGAAATGCAATTAAATCACTTTTTTCATTACATTGTCTGTTTGGCAATATGGTTAAAGAAATCTGAAAAAATGCAACAAACATTATAATAAAGTAAAAAATACATTAAATAATTAAAAATAAAATCTAATTATTATATCACATTTAAAATATTATAATTTATTCTATAAGATCTCACAAATATTAATTTCATTGATAAAATTTTATTTTTTATTACTTACAACAAGATGTGTTTTAGTTTTATTTAAAACTGTCACTTCACATTCTTGTTCAATGAGAAGACTGTGTATTCTATCTAAATCTTCTGTCATCCATGTTCCATTTCCCTATTGGAGAAATAGAGTCAATCAAAAATAGAATACATTGATTGATTGATAATATATAAAAATATTTAAACCACTTACTGGATTTAAACCATAAATTACACATTTTGTGCATTGAATTGGTATATCTTCTAAAATAACTTTTTTTTTTAAAGTTCCAATTGTACATTCTTCAATATTTCCATAATCTATAAATTCTACCTATAATAAGTAATTTTTATATTATTATAATATATTTTTATCTATATTATATTATAAAAATGTAAATTTATAATTAAATTTTGTTTACATCAATTATATTATTTTCTCGAATTTCTACTACTTTTCCTCGATACCATTTTTTATTTGCATGATATTGTGCAATGCATAAATCTCCTACAGCCCATACAGTATCACAAGATTCAATTGGACAATTTTTATATAGTTTTTCTAATTTTAATTCTATATATTGTAATATTTTAACATCTAGACAAAAATCAAAAATTGTAGGAATTATAAAGAAAAAACGTAATAAAATATAAATATATTATTATATATTTAAAATATATTACTAAATTACTAAAATTATTTTTTATTATTAAATTTATTGGAATATTTTTAAAAAATTATTTTAAAGTTATACTTTGTGTTTTAGAATGAAGATACAAGAAGCCATTGTTATCGATATATGTCGGTATAGCAATAAATGTATCTTCTTCTATTGTTTTTACTGGTAACCAAGATGATAATTTTGGAAGTGATGGAATGTTATCAAGTATTTTTTCCATATTGGTACAATTTTGACTATCAGAGTCAGAATCTGAATAATGTAATACTGTGTCCCATATCATTTTATCAGTAATGGGATCGCAAATGTCATCATTAATTTGAAACCATTTCACATTTGATTCATATTTCGTTAATCTTTCTAATTTCTTTACTAATTGTCGTTTTAATTCAATTGCTAAAATTTTATCTCTTTTTTTTGCATATCTAAAAAGTTTTTTAAATATTAATAAAATATTGAGTTGAAATATATTATTTTAAAAAATATTTTGAAATAATTTCGTACTCTTTTACAGGTAAGGCTACTCCATCTTCGACTAACATTCTATTGACAGAATTAATTTCATGTCTTGTCGGTGCTAATGGTCCATCCATTTTTACTTGTTTAATCCACAATTCAACTGGTATTGCGGAGTCTTCTGTTTCTTCTTCTTCCTATAAAATAATAAAAAAAATATATAAACAACAATTATGATTTGAAGAGATATAAATAAAATATAAATAATAATTTTATCGTTTCAATATATTGACAAGATATTTATATTTTTCATTCCAGAACATATTAAATATCAAATTGAAAAATATTACATTACAATGATTATGTATTAGATATAGGCATTAGATATATAGATTAGACATATAGTAATAAATATTAGAATAATGTTATAATAATTAATATTAATATATTTACCAATTTAGATATGTAAAACTTAGAATTCTGATTGTTGTTTATAATTTCGTGCAATTTCTCACAAGATAATGATGGCCACGTAGAGGATCCTCCGCACGGCAATATACCTGTTAGCTTTATTTTAAAAACGTATGTTGGTATTTTAGAAAACCATGGATACAATGATTGTATGTCATTAATTGAGACAGTTTCTTCGATTCCTATATCATATAAAAATACGACTACTTTATTGTCGATCTTTATATCAATGATTTTACCACGATAGTACATGTCACTCCTTGCAAAATAAACTGCACAAGCAGAATCCTTGTTCCAAACGTCTCGTTTCGCGGGACGATACTTGTTATAAAATTCTTGCATTTGTTTCATCATTTTTTCTACATCACTTTGATCACAAGTGGCATCAGAAACGTAAATACTGTCCGGAGATAATACTTGATGTATTAGAACACATACTTTGAAAGGATCTTCATTTTCGTCTACGTTTTTGGTTTTTGTGTTTAAATTTATCGGATCATCATAAAGTTCACCTGGTAATTCTGTACAACTAGCACTTTTTCTAAATTTATTTTTTTTACTTTCAGATTTTTTATTCATGCTTGTACTGAGTGAACTGTGATATAAAACGAAAAAAAATTATATATATGAATATATTATATGTATTTTATTATATTTTTTTGTATTTTTATTTAATAAATTGATTTTAATAAATTTCAAAAGTAATAAAAATAATGTAAAAAATGAAAAAGATGATATAAAATGATAGAAAGAAAGAGTTTGAAATTTTAACGGTTTATACTATTAATCGAGAAAAATAGAAGATATTATGAGTTTCAAAATCAATAGTTTTAGAATGAAACTGATATAACTTTTGTTATGAATATTTAAATAAATTATTGCTTTTAAATGTTTTTTTATTAAAAAAATTTTGTTTATATTTAATGTGTTGCGAGAAAATTCACTAGTACATTCGCGAAAGAAAGATGAGATAGTGTTTACATTTTTAATAATTGATAAAGTACGATTTCAAATATTCATAAATATTAAAAATTAATTAATCAAAAATATTGATGGTAAGATCATCGATATAATTTTTCTAAGAAAATCATTTCGTATATATTTAAAATATTTACCTTGAATTAGAATACAATATTACATCATTTTTTTTGTTTAATAAATTAGCGACATTAATTTTGTCATATGTATACATAATAACATCATACGTATCTCCGATCTTGTTAAAAGGAATAACTCTGAATTTTTTTCTATCCATTAAATATTTTTTTATAAATTCTATCGTTTCCGATTCCCATTGATTTTTATCATCAGGCTTTACATTTCTCAATGAAACTTTTATAGCCTGGTGAATAGTATTTTATTTTAAAAAAATTGTTTTTGTAGAATTATAAAAGTATATCAATTATATATATGGAATTGATATGAATCATCAATTACTTGTGTTTTACAACTCATGTATTTCCTAGGTAGTGGTTTGATAGCATCGTAACTTAATATTAATGTATATCCTAAATCCACGTAGAAAACTTGCACCGTATTTTCAGTAACTTCACATATTAATCCTCTATGCCAAAAACCATCAACTCCAGGCGCAGCACATGGTAGATCTATGCAAAAAATGAACATATATACTGCATAATGAATTATTGCATAATGTATAATGAAAGACAAAGAATATTTAATAATATTTC